TTGCAGTAATTTGACATGAACTTATGAGCAGCATAAACTTAAAGTGTGCTCTCAAAGATAAAGATGCGCACAGGTTAAAGTGCTTTGCTGAATGGGAGATAAAATGGACAGAACTTTCTTGCCCTGTTTTGTGGTGAGGTTTTGAGCGATATTATTCTGTAAGTATAGAGGATAGGTTTTCTGAAATTTGAAATGCTTATTTTAACAAATTATTTTCGCCCAGGTACATACCATGTAGTTTCCCCTCATCCCCCCTTAGAATAAAAGGAAACTAATTCAACAGCAGTATAGGATCTGGGGATTTTTTTTCAGCATGCCAGAGACTCCTCTATGGAGAAGGTCTGACTTATGAGGCCAAATTCAATCTCATTAATCATATTCATCTCCACTGAAATACATGTAATTAGAAACATTTATTGCCTTGCAAGACTGTCTTAGAATCATAGAATCATAGTATCACAGGGTGGGCTGGAAGAGACGTTAAGGCTCAACCAGTTCCAACCCCCTGCCATGGGCAGGGACACCTTCCACTAGACCAGGTTGCTCCAAGCCCCATCCAACCTGGCCTTGAACACTGCCAGGGATGGGGCAGCCACAGCTTCTCTGGGCAACCTGTGCCAGGGCCTCACCACCCTCACAGGGAAGAACTTCTGCCTAAGAGCTCATCTCAATCTCCCCTCCGTCAGGCTAAAGCCATTCCCCCTTGTCCGGTCCGTACGGGCCCTTGTAAATAAATAACATTTGTACATTATATTAAAGATCTTCATGTAAGTAAGAATTAAGATGCAGGGCTGTGCTGTAAGGTGGGGTGGGATAACAATACATGCGGACATGTATTTCCTGAGCAGGAAGATACAGATATTATCCAGAGGAGGCCTGTTCACCGGTGCAATTTACTGCAGAGGGTGAGGAAAACATGAGGCGGAGGAGGGGGAACAGGCACTGGGCAGGTTTGACTTTTGTCTATCCACATCTGATGAGTTCTGCTCAGACCAAGGAAAAGCAGGACAAGGTAGCAAACTCCAGAAGCACCAGCTATGCATTTTATGCAGCAAAGATTATATTAATGTTTGTCCAAAGTAGAGAGGCTTTGCAGTCCCTTGAAAAATTCAGTGTTTCTGCCTGTGGGGGATATTTTGGAAATATCTGCTTTTTAGTGTATTCCTCAGGCAAAACAATCATTTTTCAACAGCTAAGAATAAAAGTCAACCCTGTCAGGGTTGGTTTAGAAATTTATAGAGAGGAACATAAAATATCGAAGGCCACAATATTCTTTCTTCTGCTCCTGTTCAAATCTGGCACAGATACAGAAATTAAATATCAACGCAGTCTGTCTCTAGACCTTCTGTTTTCCAACAGTGACTTCAATTTTGTTGTTCAGCTTTCTTACAAATCGATTAGTGCTAAACACTGAGCCCTGCCACCGACGCATCCAGCCCCACAGCTTCATGTGTATCATTCAGCTTTCTATTAAGTTCTATTCAGTTTCTGTTGATTTTCACAGATGTAAAGTTTTATTTCCCATGACTTTGCTTTTTTCCTCTTGATCTCCATTGCTGTTTTGTTTTGTTTTGTTTTTTTTTGTCAGTGTTGTGGTTTAAACCCGGTCAAGCAACTGATTCACTCACTCCCCCCATCTTATATCCCTGTCCCTACTCCCAGAGGGACGGGGAGGAGAATCAAAAGAATGCAACTCCCACGGGTTGAGATAAGAACAGTTTAGTAACTAAGGTATAACACAGATCACTACTGCTACCACCAATAATAATAATGATAAAGGAAATAACAAGGGAAGAGAATACAACACCTCACCACCAGCCAACCGATAACTAACCTCCCCCAGGCCCGACCAAGCACCGACCCATACCTCCTCCAACCCTGCAGTCCTAGCCCTTCTGGGTAACTTTAAGTTACCTCCTGGGCATGATGTGCTGTGGTATGGAATACCTCTTTGGTCAGGTTGGGTCAGGTGTCCTGTCTCTGCTTCCTCCCGGCTTCCCCTCCTCCCTGGCAGAGCATGAGCCTCACAAAGTCCTTGGCCAAACCAAAACATCCTTGTTATCAGCTCTGTTCCAGAGCCGAAAGTCAAAACACTGCACCGCACCAGCTACCAAGGAGAAAAATGACTGTTACTGCTGAACCCGGGACAGTCAGTCTTGTAATCACTTTACCTTCAGATATGTTCCCCTCCTTCCTTGCCTCTTGTTTCATTTTCCCTTCCCTTTCCTCTAACATTCCATTGCATTTTCCTCACATCCCTGTTGTTAAGCCTTCCTCCTTCATTCTGACTCCCATTTTCTGTGATCACTTTCCAGTTTTCCCTGCTCACATAGCCATGCTCAGCCACTCTGCCTTTGCAGACAGTGATGCTATCACCAGGTCGCTGATATTCACTCTGCAGCCAGCATGTCCTCACTTGTGTGCTGCGAGGCTTTACTTCAACAGGACACAATAAGGCACTCAATTGGGTAGTGCAAATCTCTGGACTCTGAAGTCTGACTCGGAGGCGCTTTTCTTTCCAGAGAAGTGCCATAGACAGGTGTGACTGCTCTTTTGAGTACGAGAGGGCCAAAGAAATCTGTGTCAGGAAAGCTCAGGCTTCCTTTCCTTTACATGCTGTTGAATCACAGGCTGCCTTACAAAAGCACCGTCTCCACGCATTGCACACTGCAACTATGTGAGACTGGAGAGAAGACACCAATCCTGCATGCTATCCAGGGAATCTACTCACCAACAAATTGCTCAGTCCACTTTTTGCCACAAAGTCTGTTTAAAAGTGGATTTAAAATTATTGCCCATATGCTTGTTTTGAAACTTAACTAAAATACTTATTGCAGATATAATTTCATATGTGTTATTTAGTATTTTGAGCAGTGTATGTACTGTAACAGTATTTTTTCCTGCTTTCAACTCTTCAGCCTCTCTTATTTCAATGCTTGTGATTCATAAAAATATAGTTGTGCAATGACTCTCTGTTAGAAGTATGACATGGCCCAAATACTGTTCTGACCTGCTCCACATGCAGTTATTAACCCAGTAAGTCACATGAAAGTCCTCTGCGAGGATCCCTGCCTGTATAGAAAACTGCCTGCCCTCTTGAGTGCACAAACCAGCAATGAAACACAGGCTGCTGCACATCCCAGATGCTGGGTTGTGTTCTTTACAGTGTGTTTCCCATAAAAACACAGAGCAATGAGAATTAGCTGACAGAGATTGTGTTCCTGTTGGTATGGATGTGGTGGCCAGAAGGCCTCAATTGTGGAGTGAGCCCAAGCAGTTGCTCCTAGCCTAAAGCTGTTGGTGCAAATCTTATTTACCCTGCATGTAGGGAGGGATGAGCCCCATTCTCAGCTGCTTGTGCACAGCCACCTACTTCTCTCTACTAAGTGCTCTTAACCTAAGTGAAATATTTTGCAGCCTTATAAGGTTTCTCTAAGTAACCTGCCATACTGGTACATGAAAAATGCTTCTTTACTATTTTATGAAGGCTGGTGTATTTTCAGACATGACTGCATGCATTTGTGTTAAATCAAATCTGCTGAGTGTTTCTGTATGTGGGCTAACAAAAATGACTGCTCCAGCTGGAGGCATTGCAGTGACCTATTAGCCTGAATTTCATTCCTCAATCTTCCTGTATTTAAAATTCAATTTAGCTGCCTGCATGCTCTGCCAATTAGCTGTTATATTATTTATCTCTTTATTTCTTCAAGTGTCATTGTAATGAAAGATTAAATGAAGGAGTTTATTCTTAGTTTTAAGTGTCATGTAAACATCCCTTAAGTGGAAATTATTACTCAGAAAGCTCTTTTCTGTAAGGAATGTGCCCATACATGCAAGTTCTGGCAAGGATGGGCCCTCAGACTGCCGTGAGAACTCTTCCATAGATAAAGTTAGTGACATAAGTAATTGTTTGCAGGACTAAGCCCACATACAATAAAAGTGAAAGTGAGAGAAACAGAAGTTTGCAGAGGTGTTAGTCCATGATGTATGATGGTGTATTTGGAAGAGGTAATTTATTCTCTGGCATTCATAAAATTTATACTGTAACTGTATATGGCAAGTGTCAATATAAATACAAAAAAAAGAAAGTTCAGAAAATATATTCACCTAAATCTCAATGATTCAAAATAAAAAGAGATAACACAAGCACCCAGAATTGCAACAGTGAAGTGCACAAAGCTTTGTTGACTTCTGTGGCACTACTTATATGATGAAAGTTACCTATAGTCCTAAGTGTTCTCATTATTATGTTCTATTAACATCATCTCTCTTCTATGAAAAGTATTAGTGCCCTTTAAAAAGAAAGACGATCCTGCTAAGGATCTCATGAAAAGCCACTGACTAGCTCACTGAGTTACGCATTTTGTAAGGGAACACATGTGCATTTCTGTTAGTGGAATCCTTTTAGGGGTTGACTGCTTGCACAGCCATCTCTAAGCAGCGAGTAGTGCACACTGATTCACATCAAAAAAACCTTTAGGAAGCCCCTTTTTTTTTGTACTTTTCTCACCTCTTGCTCCAGAGAATGTTAATCTGCAGGTGACCTATTCCACTAGTAAATTATCCCGCACTGTCTGCATCCCTGTGCCTGCTGAAGAGCTCAGGGTCTCTGTCGATCCAGTGCCCTTATCTCATGCTGTACCTGCTAAAGAGATGCAAGATGATTGAATGTGGGAATTGAGAACTACTCTTACCCCCATGCAGTAAGGCACAGCCCACCTTTATTATTATTTTCCAGTCTTTCTGTTAGCAGATAAAACCAACTGGAATGTTTTTTTTTCTCGTAAGATGATAAAGTAATTTGCAGATTTTGTTTTACTCACTCCACTTTTGTGCCTACACTGCACATGAAATTATTGTTAGTAAAAGTATAAAACTATAGGATTTTATTTATAAAGAAATTTACTTAAGAAAAGGGAAAACATTGGGAAGGAGGTCAGGTTCTGCATTTTCCTCTCCTGGTGTCATGATGAAGAGCAAGAGTGTTTTCCATGCTTTGGAAAGCAGCATGGAAGATGAAGGTGAAAGCTAATACCGGCCATTTCCTGCAGAATTCTCTGGACAGCCTCAAGGACAGTGTTCTGTGGTGGCTTGTGTCATTTCCCAGCTCAAGCCTTCCTTGTTTCTCATGCTGCTCATGCACCTTTTAGAGGAGTTCTTCTGGTTGTGTTTGCTGCCATCCCCCATTTTGGTGTTTATGTAAGGGGGGAAAGCACCAGACTGACTTATTACTTGACGCACTTAGAAACGCAATAGCTCATTATGCTTTGACTTCATTATGACTAAATGCGTGTCCTGATTGAAACAGGAAGTTTTTGTATGATTTGCTTATTCTGCAATATTTATGAATCCTTTTCTTCAAAGTATAGACTCTGATTGATCTGTTCACAGCAGCCCTGTTTAATAAATTATCTTTTTTACAACAGTTATGATAATTGCAGACTTAGCAGTGAAACAACACAAATTCTCCCATTAGTTCCTACTTTGTGGAAGACTAGCCAGAAATTGCTCATGACCTGTGAACCATTTCAATTTGTCTTCATTTATACTATCTCTCCAAAAACTACCCTCTGCTGCTGTCTACCACATGTAAAGGATAAGATCAAAATGAGACAGTATTGCACTGGTAAGCCAAAATCAGACTTGGGTTTCAATTCATCTTAAGGATAAGCTTACAGACATACGGTGTGACTGCTCAGTGGGCTTGAAATGCTGGGGCACATGCTGAAGATAGGAGGAATGTCTTCCTGATACCAATTTATTGGTAAACTAATATTCAGTGCAAACAGAAGGGCTCTGCTGTTTGTGTATTATCCCCTCCCACCCTAAAAAGTATTTTGGCTTGTCAGTGTAAATACATGGATGGGAATGGGAAGCCAGGGAAGGACTCTATCTTTTTCAGCGTGGACATTTGTCCTGACATTACTCCTGGAAAGGAGGGGAATGCACGAGTGGTCAAAGCATATTCTCCATAGAGGATGCCAATTTGCTTACCTATAGCAAACAGATGTCCTTGCTGATCTATACTGATCTGCTTTTCCAGACAGAGACTTACAGGTCTCTGCTGTATTCTGTGCATGTCTTAATAGCAGCTTACTATTAATGTGTAATCCCCAAGGCTGATTTTTAGAAAAATTCTGTTGCTGTCCACCAGAAAATACTGCATGCCAGATGCTAAATGTTCCTTCCTGGCAGTGTTTTAACCAGTCATGTGCAGTTTACATTAATAAAGCAAGTGGTCTCCAAAACACAGCTCTGAAATCAAAAATTAAAACCCTTGCTTTGCAGCAGAGCATCTTGTGCCTCCTTCAGCCACAAATGCGGATGGATGCATTTGATCAGCAGCAACTGGCTTTGGGTTTACATCCTGTTTTCTGTTCTGCAAATGCCAAGTGAAGGCCTGATTAGGATGCTGAACATATTGTTAGCAAAATCACTTATAAAGTGAACACTTCCCCATGCTTATTAAGCAGTGTCTCGCTGCATGGTGAAATTGTCATTACAACGCAGAGCACTGGAGCAGGGGAAGTGACAGGCAATGCTGAAGGTCCATCTGCCTGTCCAGTGCATGTCTACGCTTCAGCTGGAGTCACCAGGAAGGTGGGACTTGTTGAGGTTCTAGGTTCCTGTTGACATTCAGCTGTCATGGCTTCGTTGCCTGCATGCCTTACCTCCACTGACACATTCAAGGGTACTTTAAGGCTGCCACAAAGAGCCAGTCAACTGATACCACTGCACTCCCCCCGGTGCTTGCCTGGGACTGTTGATACAGTCTCACATTTATTCATTAGCTGAGTCACTGAAATCGTGGCTTGCCCAATGTCAACACAGCTCGTAACAATGCTGGCTTAATTGCTTAAGCCAAAAATTTAGCTACTTCTTTTTAAAGTTCTGCATGTTGTTCTCTAATGAAAGTAGTTTTATCTGCATCTTAATGGCAGGCCATTTGTGCCCAATGAAAGATTACCTGAAGAACCCTGACATTTAACACACTGGTTTAAATACAGGCTGCTGCAAAGAAAAAGTATACAGAAAACACGTAAGCAAGGGAGAAAATGTGGGTATTTATTTGTTCTGAAATGCAATTGCTCAGAAATAGTCTGAGCAAATGGCAAAAAAGGGGAAATCCTAACCTTGGGTCAGGGGAGAGACAGCGTTAAGAGCTCTTTGAGCTTTGCTGGTCCTATAGAAAAAAACACTAATGAACCTATTGAAGTTTACCAAACTTTGGATGACAACTTAAGTAGTGGTGCTTTTCTGAGAGGTGATGGAAAAGTATGGTGTCCTGGGTTCAGCAGTAGCAGTCATGTTTTTTCCTTTGTGTTAGCTGGTGCAGTGCTGTGTTTTGACTTCTAGTTTTGAGAACAGCGTTGGTGAAGCCGATGTTTTCGGTTGTTGCTAAGTGATGTTTACCCTGACCAAGGACTCTGTGAGGCTCGTGCTCTGCCAGGGAGGAGGGGAGGCTGTGAGGAAGCAGGGACGGGGCGCCTGACCCGGGCTAGCCGGGGAGGTATTCCATACCACAGCACGTCATGCCCGGGGTGAGGGGTAACTGGGAGTTACCCGGAAGGACAGGAGCTTCCGGGTGGAACTCGTTTTCTTGGCCGGTGGTATCGTATTCTCTTCCCTTGTTATTTTCCCTTATCATTGTTTTAGCTGATAGTAGCGGTGGTGATTTGTTGCTGGACTGTTCTTGTCTCAACCCGTAGGAGTTGCACTCTCTCGATCCTCCTCCCCGTTCCTCCGGGAGCGGGGAAGGGGAGAGCCCCGGTGCAGGGAGGGGGGGGGGAGACGAACACGGACCTTGATTGTTGTCAGCTTGGCACCACTCACTGGGAGTGAGTGAACAAGTTACCTGACTGGGTTTAAACCACGACAGTTCTTTTTGGCGCCCAACGTGGGGCACGAGGGGTTGAGATAAGAACAGATCTGACTGGATTGATAGTCACTCGTCACAATGCTGATTTATTGGCTCTCAAGGTTTTTCCTCTTGATCTCACAGTTTCAGTATACCATATCTTACGTCCATCCGGTATTGGCTGTATTAGTGTTTTTCAAGTGTGGGGCTTGGGCTAAGGTTTTTATCCCATTGTACTTTATGGTAATGACTTGTAATACAATAGAATCATTGATCATGAAACTGATCTGGCTTATGTTCCCAGTGTGGTCACCACCTTTATACTTTGGGAGGTATATGATGGAGGTGCTTAGCAATTACACATCTTTTTTCTCCTTCTCAGGTGCTCAACCTGTGAAGGAGACATCCTTTTACCCTCCTAGTCGTTCCCCCAGACCATTTACATTTGAGAGTTTTGAATTTTTTAAATGGCCTTTTAATGCTCTTGAGACTTGTTTGCTGATGGTGATGGGAATCACCATGCTAACACGCATACAGAGTGTGTTTTGCCCACTACTGATTTCAAGAGTTAAGCAGATTCAGGTTTGGGTCTTGTCTGGGGTCAAACGACGATGTAGGAGGACCGAGAGATTTTCCCAGAGGCTGGACAGCCATGAGTGGCAGGGTGTGTGGGATAGTATGGGCAAGTATCTAGGTCAGTGGGCCCCCCCAGTATTTTGGAATTTCACTACCGAACAACTGCAAAATCCAGAAGAATTAGTAAAACACTTAAATGAGGTGTGTGGTCATTCTGGCCATACCAGAGATGGACAAATCACGGCAACGTGCTGGGGCTTGGCCTATGCTTACAGGGCCTTGTTCAACACTATCCAGCACCTTCAAAAGGAAAAGAATGTCGGCGGATTTGAGGGCAAAGCGACAGTCGCTACTCAAACTTTGGCTGCAATGAACTGCGCAGCTACCCCAGTGGCAAGTACAGCAGCTGCTCAAACTTCAACTGCAACAGACAGCGCGGTTACCCCAGCTCCAAGCACGGTAGCTACACCACCCCCAGCAACAAGTACAGTCGCTACTCAAACCACAGTGATAATCACTGCAGCCAAACCAGAGGACCAATTCGTACCAATATCGGTTGCCCCTGTACGCAAGAGAACAAGCAAAAAGGAGGCAAAAAGGGTGAAGCGAGATGAAGAACCAATGAATTCACCACCCGGTCCAGAATCTGATCAGGAGTCATCCTCACATGACGAAGAAGAAGAAGAAGAGGTAACTTCTCGACCTCGGACCTCAACCGAGCTGCGGAATATGCGAAAAGATTTTACCCGTCAACCAGGGGAGCACATCATCACCTGGTTACTCCGATGCTGGGACAATGGGGCCGATGGTCACGAACTAGAAGGTACAGAAGCCAAGCAGCTGGGATCACTTGCTAGAGAAGGGGGAATTGACAAAGCAATTGCAAGAGAGAAAAAGTCCCTCAGCCTTTGGAGGAGGCTCTTGGCAGCTGTGAAAGAAAGGTTTCCGTACAAGGACGATGTTACGAGTCGTTCGGCCAAGTGGACTACTATAGACAAAGGCATCCAGTCTCTGAGGGAATCGGCCATCGTAGAGATGATCTATCACATCAAGCCGAATAACGGGGATACACCTATAGATCCAGATGAAGTTGAATGTACACGACCCATGTGGCGAAAACTTACACGGAATGCACCGTCATCATATGCCCATTCATTGGCAACAGTGACCTGGAATGACATAGTACCACTAACAGTGGATGAAATGGTTCATAAACTCCGAGAGTTCGAAGACAATCTCACTCCTTCCATCATCTCAGCTGTGAAAAAACTGTCCCAGGACCTCGACAAATTGAGGGACGATGTATCTGATTTATCCAGCTCCTCACGTGTACCAACACGCGTCTCAGCTATTAACAAAAGACGTCCTATTGTTCAAGAGAGGAGATACAGAAGGTATACGCCACGGGGTACCCTATGGTTTTACCTGCTGGATCACGGAGAAGACATGACAAAGTGGGATGGAAAACCTACTTCAGCTTTGGAGGAACGGGTGAGTGAACTGAAGAGGGGAGCAAGGGCCAAGACTGATCGTCCCATGAGAGCTACGGCTTCAGTTTCTGGTGAGCAGTTTCCCAGATGGAGTGGAAGAGCTGATTTTACTCCAGCTCCTGTGATAACGAAGAATAATCCCTTTCAACACGACTTAAGTGTCCAATGCTGTGACGACCATTAGAGGGGCCCTGCCTCCAGCCAGGTGGAGGTAGGGGACAATCGGATTTACTGGACTGTGTGGATCAGATGGCCTGGCACATCAGTCCCACAGAAGTATAAGGCTCTAGTAGATACCGGTGCACAGTGTACCCTGATGCCATCAAGCTGTCAAGGGGTGGAACCCATCTATATTTCTGGAGTAACAGGAGGATCCCAAGAGTTGACTGTGCTGGAGGCTGAAATCAGCCTGACTGGGAGGGAGTGGCAAAAGCACCCTATTGTGACTGGTCCAGAGGCTCCATGTATCCTCGGCATAGACTACCTCAAGAGAGGGTACTTCAAAGACCCAAAAGGGTACCGGTGGGCTTTTGGTATTGCTGCTTTGGAGACTGAGGAAATTGAGCAGCTGTCCACCTTGCCTGGTCTCTCAGAAGATCCCTCTGCTGTGGGGTTGCTGAAAGTTGAAGAACAACAAGTGCCAATTGCGACCACAACAGTGCACCGGCGGCAATATCGCACCAACCGAGACTCCCTGATTCCCATCCATCAGCTGATCCGTAGACTGGAGAGTCAGGGGGTGATCAGCAGGACCCGCTCACCCTTCAATAGCCCCATATGGCCAGTGCGAAAGTCTAATGGAGAATGGAGACTAACAGTAGACTATCGTGGCCTGAATGAAGTCACACCACCATTGAGTGCTGCCGTACCGGACATGCTAGAACTTCAGTATGAGCTAGAGTCAAAAGCAGCCAAGTGGTATGCCACGATTGATATTGCCAATGCATTTTTCTCCATTCCTTTGGCAGCAGAGTGCAGGCCACAGTTTGCTTTTACTTGGAGGGGTGTCCAGTTCACTTGGAACCGACTGCCCCAGGGGTGGAAACACAGCCCTACCATTTGCCATGGACTGATCCAGACTGCACTGGAACAGGGGCAAGCTCCAGAACACCTGCAATACATTGATGACATTATTGTGTGGGGCGATACAGCGGAAGAAGTCTTTGAGAAAGGGAGGAAAATAATCCAAATCCTGCTGAAAGCCGGTTTTGCCATAAAACGGAGTAAGGTCAAGGGACCTGCACAGGAGATACAATTTTTGGGAATAAAATGGCAAGATGGACGTAGACAGATCCCCACAGATGTGATCAACAAGATAACAGCAATGTCTCCACCAACTAATAAGAAAGAAACGCAAGCTTTCTTGGGTGCAGTGGGGTTCTGGAGAATGCACATCCCAAATTACAGTTCGATTGTAAGCCCTCTCTATCATGTGACCCGGAAGAAGAATGATTTTAAATGGGGCCCTGAGCAGCAACAAGCCTTTGAGCAAATTAAACGCGAGATAGTTCATGCAGTAGCCCTTGGACCAGTCCGAACCGGACCAGATGTAAAAAATGTGCTGTACACTGCAGCTGGGGAGAACGGTCCTACCTGGAGCCTCTGGCAGAAAGCTCCAGGGGAGACTCGAGGTCGACCCCTCGGCTTTTGGAGTCGGGGATACAAAGGATCTGAGGCCAGCTATACCCCAACTGAGAAAGAGATACTGGCAGCCTATGAAGGGGTTCGAGCTGCTTCGGAAGTGATTGGCACTGAAGCACAGCTCCTCCTGGCACCCCGGCTGCCCGTGCTGGGCTGGATGTTCAAAGGCAGGGTCTCCTCTACACATCATGCAACTGATGCTACATGGAGTAAATGGGCTGCACTAATTACACAACGAACTCGAATAGGAAATCCCAGTCGTCCAGGCATTCTAGAAGTCATCATGGACTGGCCAGAGGGCAAAGATTTCGGAATGTCACCAGAGGAGGAGGTGGTGCGTGCTGAAGAGGCCCCACCATATAATAAACTGTCAGAAAGTGAAAAGCAGTATGCCTTGTTTACTGATGGCTCTTGCCGTATTGTGGGAAAGCATCGGAGATGGAAGGCAGCTGTATGGAGTCCTGGACGACAAGTTGCAGAAACTGCTGAAGGAGAGGGTGAATCGAGTCAATTTGCCGAGGTGAAAGCCATCCAGCTGGCCCTGGACATTGCTGAACGAGAAAAGTGGCCAGTACTTTATCTCTATACTGACTCATGGATGGTGGCAAATGCCCTGTGGGGGTGGTTGAAGCAATGGAAGCAGAGCAACTGGCAACGCAGAGGTAAACCCATCTGGGCTGCTGCACTGTGGAAAGATATTGCTGCCCGGGTGCAGAACCTGGTGGTGAAGGTACGTCATGTAGATGCCCATGTACCCAAGAGTCGGGCCACTGAGGAACACCAGAACAACCAACAAGTGGATAAAGCGGCTAAGATTGAAGTGGCTCAGATGGACTTAGATTGGCAACATAAAGGTGAATTATTTTTGGCCCGGTGGGCCCATGACACTTCAGGCCATCAAGGCAGAGATGCAACATATAGATGGGCCCGTGACCGAGGGGTGGACTTAACAATGGACACTATTGCCCAGGTTATTCATGAGTGTGAAACATGTGCTGCAATTAAACAAGCCAAGCGGTTAAAGCCTCTTTGGTATGGAGGACGATGGTTGAAGTATAAATATGGGGAGGCCTGGCAGATTGACTATATCACACTGCCACCAACCCGCCAAGGCAAGCGCCATGTGCTTACCGTGGTGGAAGCAACCACCGGGTGGCTGGAAACATACGCTGTGCCCCATGCCACTGCCCGGAACACCATCCTGGGCCTTGAGAAACAGATTTTGTGGCGACACGGCACCCCAGAGAGAATTGAGTCAGACAATGGGACTCATTTCCGGAATAACCTTATAGATATTTGGGCCAAAGAGCATGGCATTGAGTGGGTATATCACATCCCCTACCATGCACCAGCCTCTGGGAAAATCGAACGGTACAATGGGCTGTTAAAAACTACACTGAGAGCGATGGGTGGGGGAACTTTCAAGCATTGGGATACACATTTACCAAAGGCCACCTGGTTGGTCAACACCAGAGGATCTGCCAACAGGGCCGGCCCAGCCCAGTCAGAACTTTTACATATTGTAGAGGGGGACAAAGTTCCCGTGGTGCATATGAAGAATTTGCTGGGGAAGACAGTCTGGGTTATTCCTGCTTCAGGTAAAGGCAAACCCACTCGTGGGATTGCTTTTGCTCAGGGACCTGGATATACTTGGTGGGTAATGCGGGAAGATGGGGAAGTCCGATGTATACCTCAAGGGGATTTGATTTTAGGGGAAAACAGCTAGTGAACTCAATTGTATGCTGTTGCCTGCTGTGTAATGCTTTTATAGCCCATCAACTAGATGTCTCCAGGTCACCAGCGACTGGCCCTGACTTCCCTCCAGCCATCATCCCAACAGAGAATGAACTTGGAACATCATGGACCGAATGGACTCGGCAGCATTATAGGGATTGGTCCATGCACTAAGAAAATGATTTTTTTTCCTCTTGGTCTGTATGTATATGGATGTATATATGTGGGAGAGCGATGGTGTATTGAAAATGTGGGATCTGAGCACGACGTGAATGGTATGGAATAAGGGGTGGATAATGTCCTGGGTTCAGCAGTAGCAGTCATGTTTTTTCCTTTGTGTTAGCTGGTGCAGTGCTGTGTTTTGACTTCTAGTTTTGAGAACAGCGTTGGTGAAGCCGATGTTTTCGGTTGTTGCTAAGTGATGTTTACCCTGACCAAGGACTCTGTGAGGCTCGTGCTCTGCCAGGGAGGAGGGGAGGCTGTGAGGAAGCAGGGACGGGGCGCCTGACCCGGGCTAGCCGGGGAGGTATTCCATACCACAGCACGTCATGCCCGGGGTGAGGGGTAACTGGGAGTTACCCGGAAGGACAGGAGCTTCCGGGTGGAACTCGTTTTCTTGGCCGGTGGTATCGTATTCTCTTCCCTTGTTATTTTCCCTTATCATTGTTTTAGCTGATAGTAGCGGTGGTGATTTGTTGCTGGACTGTTCTTGTCTCAACCCGTAGGAGTTGCACTCTCTCGATCCTCCTCCCCGTTCCTCCGGGAGCGGGGAAGGGGAGAGCCCCGGTGCAGGGAGGGGGGGGGGAGACGAACACGGACCTTGATTGTTGTCAGCTTGGCACCACTCACTGGGAGTGAGTGAACAAGTTACCTGACTGGGTTTAAACCACGACATATGGTGAGACAGAAAGCAGAAAATGTGCATCTTTATTAACTGCTTTCCTGCACTATCCCTACAAAAACTGTTGACAATTGTTTAGTCAAAAAATGTGCTTTAATTGTAAGCACAGTTCTTTAATCAAAAAGTTTCATTTTGGGAAATGAATTCACATAGAAGAAAATATAAAACAAGGAAAGCCTGTCTGCTGTGTACTAGGAGAAACTGCTGCTTTTACAATGAGGCTGGGGGAAAGTTTGTTTTCTTTGAATATCTTTTGGACACATTTATTTTGGTGTTTGTCTTGATGCTTGCTCAAGGACTTGGACAACCAGATCTCACCACCACAGTAAACTTCACCATTGCATCGACTGTATATCAAAAACTGTTGGTTGCTAAATGGTGTATACAAAAATACAGGTTTTGCTGTACCAGGCTATTGCCTCACATGTTTTTTTTCCTGTCTCCTTTCCTGTGTACTGCTGGAGTTCCTTTGTCTCAGAGCTGGTGCAGCAGAAACTGCAGCAGAGCAAACTTACCACCAGCGTGCCCCAAAAGATGGGGAGGGAGGAACCACCTGGACAAGCTGTAAGCTGGTGAGACAGTCGACGGGGGTGCCAATTAGTGTCAATTGTTGCCATCATTCTCTGATATGGACACCTGTCCATTGGGAACCAGCATCCAACTGCCAAACTAATTTAGTAGAAAGCAATGAATAAGCACCAGCTAAAAAAGTCTCCAGTTGCACAGCAGCTGTCTGAACTGGCCTGAAAAAGGCCTAAAAAGGCTGTGCATGGAGAAGGTAATGTGCTGTTGGCAATGGTGTAGTATTGTACTCAATTTATGAAAAAGTGTATTGTCACATATCATCATCATGAGGATGATCTAAAGGCTGGAGCAGCTCTGCTCTGGTGACAGGCTGAGAGAGCTGGCCTGATTCAGCCTGGAGAAGAGAAGGCCCCAGGGAGACCTTAGAGCAGCTCTAGTGCCTGAAGGGGTTGGCAAGAAACCTGGAGAGGGGCTTTGGACAAGGGCCTGTAGGGACAGGACAAGGGGGAATGGCTTTAACCTGACAGAGGGGAGACTGAGATGAGCTCTTAGGCAGAAGTTTTTCTCTGTCAGAGTGGCGAGGCCCTGGCACAGGTTGCCCAGAGAAGCTATGGCTGCCCCATCCCTGGCAGTGCTCAAGGCCAGGTTGGATGGGGCTTGGAGCAACCTGGTCTAGTGGAAGGTGTCCCTGCCCATGGCAGGGGACTGGAACTGGATGAGCTTTAAGGTTCCTTCCAATCCAAACCATTCTATGGTTCCATGATTCTATGTAGGTGACAATTGATGTTCGGGTGTTGATGCTAAGAGGCATTGGAGAACAACAGTTGTCTCCAGGTGAGGAACCGCTATCTACCCTCCTCTGAGAGTGCCACCTACCTCCAGTTAGCCTTACTCTTTACCACCCAGGACTTTATAATTTAATTTGGATCTCCAGTGGAAAGCTGCAATCCCAACATCCCCATCACCACTGCATGAGTTAGCAGGTTTTAAATTCACCAGACCTGATAACCTGCCTTAGTAGCCGGTCAGGACTTTTTTAACGGGTGGCCAGAAAGATCTGCCTTGTGTCTTTTTGCCTCCTTCACAGCTATTGCAGGACAGACTTGGTAGCTGAAGGCCTAACTCCTTTAAGTCTATGGCTCAGACAGAGATCCATATTTAATTTGTCAAAAAACAGTACAGTTGAAAGCTAAAAGAGCTGTTACTTAGAGTATCTGGTGGTAGATAGTTCCTTTGCTGTATTTATAAACAAAATTAAAGCTATTTAATCCCAGTTAGTCTGTGTGTTCCTTCCTCGTACATCCAAGGAAAGAATAGCTCCTGTATTCAGTCATGATCATGCATCCAAAGGTTCCCAAGTTCATTACTATGCGCTTACAAGTGCATAAGCCTTGACTTCATGTCACACTACACCATTGCAACTGAGAAGGTTTAAGTAGGCCTTCTCTCCACTTCTTCCAGTTTTCTTTAAACCAATGCATAGATGAAGCCAGGGATGTCCTGTAGCTTTCAATAAAGCCATTGTCTGAATTTAGGCACTGACTGAATTCCCATTGCTCCAGAATAAATTAGTCAATTTCTTTAATTTAGCCTTGCCAAACATTTGGGTTTAACCTGAACAATGTGTGATTCTTGCTAGTTTCCAGCTTTATGGGTTACATGAATCCTTAGAAGTCTAGGTATAAATAAGTGTATTCTTGTGAGGATACTAACACATTGTCAAAGCAGTATTTCATCCACCCACAAACCCCATCTGAAACAGGTAACAGAAAAATATTCTATTGCATTACAAAGAACACCACTCTGAGCCCCACGGGGATGGAAACACCACTATGTCGTGCATCTGGCTTTGCTTGCAGGAGGCAAGTTAGGCAGCGCTGTGACTCTACAGAGAGCAATGGTCATGGCCCAGATAAATCTGCTCTGACTACGTTTTGTGCTATGTTTGCTGGGAAAATTAAGAAAAAAGAAAGAGGTGCTAAATTACTGGGAAATAATAGAACAATAACTAGAACAGCAAAGATCTTCAGGGTAACACAGTGACTTTATTTGCTTAGAAGATTTTCCACCACTTTGTATGCATGTATGTCCAAACACAAATACACTGTCAGCATCACAGTATTCTTAACCAATATATCTGTGGGTGTTTTTCTACCATCTGCACCTGTATTTCTGAATGAATTACAAGGCCATGCTAGTGAAAAACAAAAGCCTAAAAGTAGGTTTCTGAATTGATTATGCCTGTTTTGGATGTGCTGTAAACCTAGCAGTTCCTATGGCATCAACAGGAATTGCAATGACTGATTTTTTTGTCAAATCAGGTTACTTAGAAGTAAAATTTTCTAAAATACCTGAACAGATTTATAGGAGAAATAAAATCTTTTGTTAACCCAACTGGCACATGGATAAAAAAGGGAACCTTTCAGGTATGTGTTCACTTCCTAACATCCCAGTCACAGATACTAATTCTTCTTGTAAACTTTGCCTTCTGCACTGAGGTCACCATGACCACAACATAATTATTGGAAAATTGACTTTTTATATTTGTGGGCCTATAATTAAGCTCCATTTTATGACTGGCATGACTATTTACATTCTTGCTTAGGACATTCCTAATTTATAGTGACTGTGTATTGGGATTAAGCTGGTTTCAAGCTGTGTTGCTCTTTTGGTTCTTCCTATTTTGTTTTCTTTCTGTATTCCATTTTGTCCTAAAAAAACCCTTGTATTTCAATAGCTTTTTTCCATTTTGTAGGCCTAAATCTGTTATTGACAAAATTGATGAGACCTACCTCACTGATGTCTGAAGAAGCCATATTGTTGGGATAAAATATATCAAACAAACGTTCTTCTTGTGATTTTAAAGGCTGGTTCATGGATAATTTTCTTTTATAGTTCAAGTTGCCTCCTCGTGGACATAACTCATTTGCACTCTTCTACATCTCAAATAAGGAGTAAATAGTATGATGTATCACACAAATGTCACATCAGGCCATTCATTAATAAAGGAAGTGTGTAGCTGCATCAATATTGCAAAAATAATGTTTGGGCTTTTCTGAATAAACAAATGATACAGAAAATGATACAGAAAATGTCTGTATTTAAGAGCCAAGAAAGTCTTCGGTGGTCTGACACACTTGTGTAAATTATGTCAGGAGCTAAGCAATCTGATTCCTTCTCCCTTTTTTGACCAAGACATCTACATCTGGTCTTACTGTAGTAATAGTTATTTCTATTTTTGCTACATCCTGCTAATTACACCAAACCAGACTCATATACTGTTAGAGCAAAGTTAACAAAGAGTAGTAAAAATCAGTCTTCTGAAACTCAAACTGCTATTAGACCAGATTGTGACATTTTTGCAGTTGTAATAGATGCATTTTTTGTTGTGCAAAACTAGACATTTTAATTACGTTATCTAGCTCTTTAGATAAACAAATAATTTTTAAGGCATAAAAGACTTGCTGTATAATTTCCTTTTATATTTCAACAGCACAGAGGCAAACCACACAGTTTACAAAGAAGAAATTTAGATAATATTTTGCTCTTGCAGGTTAAAAAAATAAAAGGAGGAGGGTGGAATAGAGGGTGAAGAGGAAAAGGGGTGGTAGTAGCTTACTATTGAAATAGTGCAATTTTTCATAGTAGGATTGCTGAAATGCTCTATGAGCTATTTTTTAATCTTGAATGAGAATTATTTGATGGGTCTACCCAGTAATTAGCAAAATAAATAATCAAGACAACTGATTCTTTTCTACTGGGTACTCTAAGAAACCCAGCACATCTGTTAACGGCACAGAGTTAAGTAGTGTGCAACTGACTTGCTGTGTCATAGCAATGCTCATAGTGTCTGTTAGGAAAGAAAAAAAAAGCCATCAGTGTGTTAATAGCTAAGTTCATGTAAAAATAAATTAATATTTATCCAGTAGGAGTAGTAATGGAGTTTTGCTATTGAATTCAGTGGCCTGTGATGTCGTTGGCAATGAACACAACGACATGCTGATCTGTGCCTGGCATAGAGAAACAGCTTATGGTGCCTTAACACAGTCTCAAATGAGCTTATTTTTAATAATCGCATAATTTGCCATCTGTAAATGATTTTTAGGTCTTTTCAGTATTCTTGCAGCTGAAAACCATGTTCGCATCTCAAATGTTTTGGGGTTGTTTATTGTTTGGCTTGCTGCTGATGGTTAGCAGAAGAGACACTTTCAGGTTCTGCTTGAGGAACCTCAGGGCTCTCTTTTAGGCAGTTCAGCCAGCGGAATTAAGCCTGACATGTTTCAACTCTATTTCTTTATAAAATAAACATTAGACAATGGTTTAGATTTCTAATAAAACTCCTGAACCGTGTGAGACTCAAACTTTCCCTGTTCCTTTACACATCTGTAAATAAAGACCATAAAAGCAGAGTACAACACAATAAATCAACACAAATTTGAAATCCACTGCAGCATATTAAATGGCGCGAGCTCACTGAAAGGAAGGGCAACCCTGCGGCTTCTTGCAGTTTGAAGCTAATTGTTTTCGTCAGGATGGGAACGTCTGGAAGTCCACTGTAGTGTCCCACCAGCAAGGATTCAGTAACTGAGCCGGCTTACGGAGAATGAGCCCACTTTGTAGCAACACAGCAGGCTCAGACACCACCTATTCTGCTCTCCAAACTGTCATGCATAACAACTTCATTGTGCTAAATTGAACTTGAAAGCAGCCAAAGGCTATGAGAAGGAGAGGCTAGGAGAAAAGCATGCTGTCAGCACTGGCAGAGGCTGACCTGGAAAGTAGGCTCAGAGACAGGAGAATAAAAGACCCGGGCCCAAGAACATAGCATATTGTTTCATTTTAAAGTATGATTCCCACACCAGAGAAAGTAGCAAATGTGATGTAA